TGTACATGTACAACCACAGTAAGCGAAGTCTACAAAAGCATCACTGAGCCGTGGAGCCCGACTTCAACAGCTGCACAGTGACGAGCGACGGCGACACCTCGCTGAACACGTCACCAAGATCTAGTCTGCCGCAATACCTTGTATTGATCCAACACACTCAAACTGTCTCAATTTAACTCGTCATGAATTATTTATGTCAGAAGCTCATGATCAAACATGAACATTCCCTGTTGTTTAAATTTATGATTACGGTATTCACAACTCAACCGTAGAAAGGTGATTACAAAGAAACATTTTCTCAATTACACCACAAGCCAATCACACACGTTTAGGTGTGCCAACGGAAAGATACGATCTTGATCATTCCAAAGCTAACTGATAAGCAGTTTAGTGAGTGGTGATGATGATGATGATGATGATGATGATGATGATTGGTTTAACCCCGCATTCAGCAATATTCCAGCTATATGGCAGCAGTCTGTAAATAATCGAGTCTGGACCAGACAATGATAAGCAGTTTGGAAGTTTGTTTACTCAAACAGGTACATTTTAAAAAATTTGCTTATTTTTAGTGTTAAGAATTGGTTTAAATCTCATAACTCATGATTGGTTCATTACAACCGATCAATCATCAAAAATAATTGGTTAGCGTCATTTATGACATGTTCCTGGTTATTTTTGTTAATGAACAAAAAATAAAGAATAAAAACATGTAGTTCTTTGGGGTTTTGGGGGCAAATTGCACAAAATGCATTTGCAAATTTCACGTCTAGTATGTTAGGAACGTAAATTTCTTGCAGTCTATAAGATAAATTCAATCATGACTTGGAACGAGCTTGTAGTGCTAATGAAATGTAACACACAAAACCAACCTTGTGAAATATATTGTTAATGCCAACAAGTGTTCCAGAATTGTTTGTGTTCGATTATGAGAAAACATGACTGATTGCTTGGTCGTTTGCTTGGTTTACCATCTCCAGTTATGTCCAGCGATCATCATCAGAAATATTATATATTTCTCAAATTTACCAGTCTTTTTCCATAAACTAAAATATGACAACACAGTAACCATGGCAACATGAATTTGTTGACCATGCTGGTATTGAACGCTCTGTTACTTTGAAACAGACCACATTGATTTTTCTGTCATTCTCCCATTCAAAACCAGCTTGTACTTTGTTTATAACCTTTCATAGTCTTTGTTATGAACATGATGAAAGAGAGCTGTTGGTCAAAGGAAGTCTGATAATTTGTTACATTTCACTCATATCACTTCATGAATTCAGTTCAATATTTACGGACAACTGAATATTTATGAATATATTTAAGCTAGTGTTTTTACGTTTTTAGAAATGCAAATTGGAATATATCCAAGTGAGTGAGTGAGTGAGTGTAGTTTTAAACCTCTTTTAGCAAATATTCCAGCAATATCATTGCGAGGACACCGGAAATGGGCTTCACACATTGTACCCATGTGCGGAATCAACCCGGGTCTATGGCATGACGAGTCAACGCTTTAACCACTAGGCTATCCCACCACCCCTGGAATATATCCAAGCCACGCAGTAGTGTAACTTTAGTTATTTTGCCAAGACACCTCACAATACTGTAATTAGGCTACAAGCAACATTGCTCGAAATGTATTGCATTGTTTGTTTATAGAAAATATCATTTAAATGTTTAAACTTCAGCAATTACATGTTTGTTATTATAATTTCTTGACATTAAACATAGAAGGAAGAGAATTTAATTGATGTCAACTTTTTAAAATAAACACATACTACATAATACCCCTTTACACATTCACCGACCAGTGAAGATTCGGGGTAGAATAGGTCTTCAGCAACCCATGCTTGCCACAAAAGGGGACTTTGCTTGTCGTAAGAGGTGACTAACGGGATCGGGTGGTCAGGCTCGCTGACTTGGTTGACACATGTCATCGGTTCCCAATTGCGCAGATCGATGCTCATGTTGTTGATCACTGGATTGTCTGGTCCAGACTCGATTATTTATAGATGGAATATTGCTGACTGTGGCGTAAAACTAAACTCACTCACTCACCTGATGCCTAGATATGACTACCGTTAACTGCCTCTTACGACAAGACTGAATTCTAACCCAGATCTTCATGGGTTGGCATCAGGTAGTTCGACTTTGTTGTGATCAATACCTAGGGGAATGATCTGTTGTGGAAAGAGAATTTGACATAATTTCACCAAAAAAAAGAAATATCAGATAAATAGGATTTGTTTCCACATATTTCATTTCAAATAATCAAATATCGTTCCTCATGTGACTCCACTTGACACTTTGTGTCTTCCTATTTTATGCATATAGGTTGGAATTCCTTTCATCCATAAAACCATACCAAAATGATATCACCACCTTTGCCTCTCCGATCAGTAACCATAGTAACTTCACAATTTTGATTGGACAGCATCACTTATTTTGCATCGGCTGCAAAGCAAACCTGATGAGATAACTGGTATTTTTCAGAATGATGTGCTTTGTTGTTATGCCAGCAATATGACAGCTGCTAGTAAATATTTGAGACAAGAACAGACAATCCAGTGAGTGAGCAAGCAAGTGAGTGAGTGAGTGAGGTTTTATACATCTTCTAGCAATATTCCTGAAATATAACAGCAGGGTGACACCAGAAATGGGCTTCACACATTGTACCCATGTGGGGATTCGAACCCAGGTCTTTGGCGTGACGAGCAAACGCTTTAACCACTAGGCTACCCCACCGCCACTGATAAATAGAGCATAGTATGATAAATGCTTGTCTAAAATCATTAAAAAGGTTTATTTTGGGGTGGGTGCGAAGAGATGTTGTTGCTTGAGTCAACGATATATTGGTTGTATCATGTCAATAAACATCATAAAACATTCTTGAAAGATATTAATCTGACTGACTGACTGAGTTTGGTTTTACTCCGCTTTTAGCAATATTCCAGCAACATCACAGCGGGGAACACCAGAATTGGGCTTCACACATTGTACCTTTGTGGGGATTCGAACCCGGGTCTTCGGCGTGACGAGCCAACGCTTTAACCACTAGGCTACCCCACCGCCCCATATTAATCTGAACGGTCAGAGCAACAAAGTTTAGTTTTTCTATTTTTACAATTTGTTACCTTTACGCAAAAAATATTCACATTACTTGATGTTGTACATTTAATTATCAAGAAAAGTACATTGTCATTGATGTAGAGCATTTACCCTGGTGCCCAGCAGGTGCCATGGATAATATTGGTTCCATGAAAATTTATTGTAATGCGATGAAAGAAACACATCTGAAATATTTCACTTCCATAGATCGCTCATTTGTCCTTTAACTCAAGTAAACATTCTGGAAACTGACATTTCATATTTCACACCAGCCTTGAAGTGTCAGGATTTCAAATATACTGTTCTCTGTCTTTGATTTAATGCTGAGTTCCAGTTAACCAGGTTGATTTCATGCACAGGATTCACCTACATATAAATTTTGCTATTAAACGCCAGAGGTGATGCGTTTCTGAAAGACATATACGCCAAGACAGCATTTCCATTGAGCATTTATCCAGAAGTAGGTTTTCAATAGCCAGTAGCAGTGTCACAACCTTTGATGGTCTCATGGCCCTGGTCCCAAGTTTGGGCGTTCTGATAAGTGACCACAGTATTTTAATCTAAAGATCCTTAAAATATTTACCTGTTAGTGGCATTGTGACAATGACCCCTTAATTCACATACATCATTACTTTTACATTACCTACCTACCCTAGTGAGCTAGTTTTAACTTTTTTATTGGCACTATTTCAGTCATATGTTTCTGTCAACATCTTAATTAGCTTTATAGAAGCTGAATTAAACTATATTGTTCTATTTATATGTGTTTCAGAGGATTGCTTTTAAGCCCTGTTTCACAATGCATTGGCACTGTACTGATATCTCAAGAACTAAGTCAGCTCTTCCTTATAAAGCTTACAGATTGTCTATCTCTCATATTCTTTCCAAACACAGTAGATCGACATTGTATTGTTTGGAAAGCATTAAAACAGAAGCTACAATGATGCAATGCATTTTTATGTTTTTTGGTTGTGTGTTTCTGGTTGATGACAATTAAATGTTGGTATTAATGTCAGGTGGTTGTTTATAACAATTATTATCTTACAAGCATAAAGACTTTACATATGAGCATGAATATTTGTGATTCATCTTTTATAAAGACCAAGAGAATATAAATACAACAGCAAATACTGAATGGCTCCAGTTAAACCATTTGTATAAGTTGGTTTTAAATTTCATAGCTTGTTTTTCAACACATGACAGTAGTGCAAAAAGCTGCTCTGTTAATAGTTATTCGAATCCTTTAATAATTTGAATAACAATATAGGCAAAATCTGAAATATTCAAAACATTGTGAAATAATTATTATACAACTATTTGACTGGTGATGGTGCAGACATCGTGTGATGAAAATATATTTTCCCATTAGCAACAGGATATTGAGCAGAAAGGGGGACTAACAAAACCTGGCCCTGACTTTCAACCTCGAAACTAGGATACGCACGACCTGTGTGGGAGAGGATTGGGCAGGGCTACAAGTTTGTAGGCATGCCTGTTGACATATCGCTGTTTAAGTCAAGTGTGGAGTAATATTTCTCATGACAACTGTCGAAAAGGTTTGTGTATGTGTCATACGTAAAAACCAAAGTGATGTCACTCGGTATTTCTGCGTACATTTCATCAGAAACACGCGATTCTTTCTCGCCATCTTGAAAATATTGACCAAAAAAATGCTGCCTATCATGTGTAATAATACTAATTCTAGAGCATGAATAGCACTGCAAGCAATTGAAACCAAGCAAACACGTTTAGTTCAACTTCAGCCGACGCAAAAATCGATACGACAACTATTAATAAAGCGTGAATTAGCAAAAATCTGAAATTTTATCGGAAGGAATCTGGCGGAGTCCGCCATCTTGACCAGGAAGATGCGATATGGGGTGAATTACCTCGTCGGATTCTCCGAAAAGTTCTCTAAATTGGCGTAATCCATGGTGAATGTATGCAACAATTGCAAGACTTGGATCGTTTACATTCCTAGCTTCATCGGCACCGTATCTGACACCTAACCGATCGAATCTATATCCTGGACGGCCTGGGAATCGTAGCCGCGCCATGTTGCTTCAGCGCCAATGCTCTATATCCTAATCTCGTTACGACTAACTGTTATTACTAAATAAGCTTGGGGCGTCTGTCGGAAACAGATCCAATATCGCCTGAGGCAAATTGTTACGTTTTCATTCCAAACAACCAAAATATGTTATTCGGCTATATTTATAAGTTGAAACGCATGCATATACCAAACATGTCGGCTACATGGTTAAGAAATCAAAATAATTCTTGAATGAAGTTGTTATTGTGTTAGTTCATTAATTATCATGTTCAGAAAAAATATATGACACGGGATGTTGCTGTTATATTTGTGCATCATAATAAACAGACACGTGTGACATATCGCTAGTTTAAAACTAGCCCCAGACAATCCTGGCTTACTTTCAACCTAATGGCAATTGATGTGATAAACGACGAAACCATTCTCCCCTGATATTTAGGTACACACATTAAACCCAGCCCCAGTTGGAAATGTGAAGAATATTTATCGAACTCTCTCTACCATAAATGTATAACGTTCTGATATGAATGTTACATTTAATGGGAAGGGGTAAAAGCGGTAAGGTCATTCACACGCATAATTATTGTCCACAATTCTCTCATGTTTATCACTGCAGTGAGACAAATCTACATACATCAGTTGTATTACTCATGAGTTTTGGTAAGAGTTGCTTGCCGAGCATTTGTCTCCTGTTCAGTTCAATCAAAATATATAAAACAATCAATTGGAACAGTTTTACCAACATATACTCATGCCAATAATGGTTGTCACCCCCCACCCAACCCCAACCCCACATCCCCTCTCCAATTATTGGCATGAGTATATTATCTATATTGTAACAACCAAACTAAAATGCTCGTAGAACTATTGCTATACACATGTATTGAGAACTACGACGTCTTGTAAGCATAACGGAACGGTAACTATAGAAACAACGCTAGCAGTACACTAGTATACCTTTGTACCAGAATATCTATTTATGGAAGTGTGAGTGAGTGAGTGGTTTAGTTTTACGCCGCTTTTAACAAAATTCCAGCAATATCACGGCGGGGGACACCAGCAATGGGCTTCACACATTGTGCCCATGTGGCGAATCGAACCCGGGACCTCGGTGAGACGACCGAACGCCTTAACCACTAGGCTACCCCACCGCCCCTTATTTATGGAAGAGCTCGTAATCACAAGAATATGCGTTTCAAACGGTAACAATGATATGCAGAGATGGGATCAAAAGGATTTTGTGAGTAAAATCAAGTTTATTTTTGTATTGACAACTACTGAGAGAGAGAGAGAAATTAATTTACTGAGATGGACAAATCACAAAAATATTTAGCTGTATGTAACCATGCCTGTTCATGCACAAATCCAAGTCTCCGAGTCTTGTTTCCATTAACGCAGAGAGAGAAGGGTACGTTCACTTTAGGTATACAATTTATATCAGCAGTTCTAAAGTATAATATAACATTTATTGTGTAATCAATTCTCTTGCATCTCTTTGGTTGTCTTGTATCTCACCAGACGTAACGGATAATGATGTGGTTCAGGGACTGTGAGACATACTGTCCAGCTGGCTAACTGGGGGGACCGTGCACGTTTAGCCAGTCTCCATGCAAACAGATATCTCAATACATATTTCATTGTATATTTCGATCAAGAGAATACTATGAGAATAATAATTCCATGTAGTGAGTGAGTTAGTGAAAGCTGTCCTACGAACCACGTGACAATACACAGCTCATAGCTAGTAGACAAAATAAATTCTACCATGACTTCAGTAATACTGGATTGTGATTGGATAATGAAGTCATTCAGAGGTATGTAATGACATATACCTCTGATCTTCCAACACAGTATGTATTTTTATTAAAAATCTTAATAAAGCGGTTATGTGTTGGAAAATCTGATGTATATAACGAAATCATAATAGCTCTAAATTTGATTTAAAACCGAAAGTGTATTATAATTTCTGATTGTCAAGACAGTATGTTTATCTCGTAAGTATATACACTGAAAAATTTGATTTGACTAAAATATTAGAACGTTATCAAAAACGTCACAAGGCTGAAAATCTCCACTGAAACACTGGAAACAGATATCCGCATTAAATAGATCACCATCAAATAACCGTTTGTTGTTAGTGTCAGTTTTACTTCCATCAAACACGACTGCGTACATTCTTTATTCCAGTATTGTATATACACTGTATCTTGTAAAATTCAAACGTGGACCAACCAGACCAATATTTGGTTTATCAATATCACAAAAAACGATCCACTGCCTTGGTATATGTAGCCATGACAACACATCCATTGAACCATCCGAAACCCTTCCAAATTCTATTAAGACAAACCATTGCTGGCACGCACGATTTCTCAAAGAATGAGTTTGATTTTACGCCGCTTTTAACAATATTTCAGCAATATATCCCAACGGGTGCTCGATACCAGAATCGGGCTTCACACATTGTACCCATGGGGGAACCTATTCACAAAGGGACGGGTTAAACCTCACAAGTGTTATCGCGTATTTGTCCCAGTTTCGAACCAATGGGTTCCCGTTCTGTTAGAAATGTCTATAAAGAAGCCGGACTTAGATAATTAGTCTGCCCGTTGCTACATATTAAGGACGGTACAGTGGCCTAGAGGGAAGCGTTTGCTCATGAAACCGAAGTCCCAGGTTCGATTCCCCGCATGGGTACAATGTGTGAGGCCCATCTCTGGAGTCCCCGGCAGCGGTATTGCTGGATTATTGCGGCGTAAAGCCATACTCACTCACTGTTGATATGTACGTGTGTTGCCGGCATGTGCTATATTGTCCTTTTTTGCCCGGAATATGGTTCAGTGTTGTCATGTCCTACCATTCTTGGTGCCTCTTTTGTGATATGTAAATTATTATTATAATATATATCTTGTAAGTGTAAAATTACGCACGTATTTGCTCATTAATTAACACATTAGATTAATACCAAGGGATGCAGTGATGTTGTTAATTCTGTCTAGACGAGTGTGCGTCGTAAGCACATCGTTGCCATAACAACATGCTTAGATATACGAACTTCCCAATAGTTAAACGAACGCGGAATACAGAGTTGTCGCAATAACCGAACTCCTAATGTTTCGATGCCAGGGGCGGATACAGCTTTTTGAGAAAGGGGGGGTGCACACTATTGAGAAAAGGGAGGGTGCACACTTCATTTTCACCCGAGTTTCAATGGTCATTTAATAAACTTTCAGGACAAAAGGGGGGTGCGCACCCCTGCACCCCCCCTCTGGATCCGCCTATGGAAGCAGCATTAGAAACTGCATATATTGTAAAGATATCACGTGTTGGGAAATCGTGTTCATAAATCAGTATAAATTTAATGTAGGCTAAGTAGAATCCCAAAGTTCACAAAATAAATACGTTCCTAAATTTAGGTTGGTATCTATGTTTTTGTGAGTTTGTGACTGCGAAAGGTTTCCCAGACAACTACATGTCTTTACGATATTCGAGATGCCGTGATGGGTGGCTCTCTCACACATAAGTACTCATGTCTTATAAATTATATATGTTATGTATGGACAATGCATAAGGCAGCTGAGTGGATGTCAAGACTATGGGAACTTTATGTGAGGTCATACAATGAGATCTTACTTTGCCAACGCAAGTGCCTCACACTGTCTGTGCCCATTTTCTCGCACTGCCATTCATATTCCACTGAAAAAGCGTTTCGACTGGACGAAAGGTGTAATGGATACGATATGTCACTGCAACAAAATGAATTTACCTGTTGATAAGATTAAATGACTGGCGAAGACATTTGTTGACAAAATGCACCGCAACTTTCGGTGTTCACAATCCACCTGAAGTCTGTAAAACACATGTAGCTAGTTCGTAGGACAATTGTAGCGTATGCAGATCACCAATATGGCGCAGTGCGCTAGCAGCGAAGTCGCTTTTGGAGGTTAAAACGTTGTATTTCTGTTGTAACACTTCTTTAGGGGGCGATCTGGATAACTATGTGAAGTTCTGGTTTCAAGAAAATATATTTGTACTCAAAATTATTGGTTAGTCATAAAGTTATATTAATTTGAGTCCGTCGCTTCATTCGTAAGACTCGATTGGGGCGGAGAAATAGACCAATTAGAAGGCAGCATTTACCCGCCAAATACGATGACCTCTGTGCTCTTGTCGTCTTTTCCGTTATTTTATAGCCTAAACGCCCACTCGCATAGTTCTAAAATTGGTTTAATGCCGAAATAAAGTTGTTACGGCGCTCAAAGCTTTTTTAAAAAATTATTTTAAACGCGCAACGTATTTATTCACTTGAAAACCGTCATTCCTTAGGCCAGCCCCATTGTTTATATTTACACCGAGAAGACCTTCCCCCTTTTAAGCGACAGCGGGATCTGTGTTCCTCAATACAATATCGGTTTATATACTGTCTTTTGATACAATAATATATCTTTCTTTAAAATGAAGCTATTCACTCAACGGTTTTGCTTTTTCGTAAGAATTTTGTCATTTGACAGATATATTGATACACTTCTCAAGCCTGTGTGTGACGAGCGTGCGACCACTCACTTTTTCTCTTGTTGACATCGTTGTCAAATTTGCCTTCTAACAGACCGTGTGTACTTTGTAGACACACTTGCTAAAGGCAAACAGATTAACGACCTGCCCGTTGTTATGTTTTAAATTTATAGCACATGTTTTCATGTGAACGGTGGACGTTTTCCCGGAAGAGATCAGAGTCGCTTTATTCTTGTCTTCTCAGAGGTCCGCCATACCACGTGGGAATTGTTTACATCCCACTCTCTTCCGAACATTTTTGTAGACACTTATATTTCTACTTTCACATTGGATTCTCTTCAGAGTAAAAGCGAACGCAATTTAAAAACAATCAACCACCGTGCTTGAAACCCAATCGTCCGGTTTATGACTGACACGAAAATCCCACACCAGGAAATATTACTATTGATGTCCCGGCCCATGAACCAGCGTATTGTAAACAAACACGTGCTGTCCAGCGACGGCCATCTGGAAGAGCAGTAGGCCTAATCAGTTGACCAGACCGAGAAGTGACCAGCTCAGAGTGGTCGGACCCTAAGGAAATCGATAGGTCGGAAGTTGAGTACAAACAACGACGAGAAACCTCGGACTCAGTCGTGGGAGCGAGCTCGCGTGGGGGATCAACAGTTGACAACACCGCGGTCACGCAGGCGAGACGAGAGTGCGCGAGAGACAGTCGGGTGTAGTGGTCACTGGTTGAAAGAAGGGCAGCGAATGACTCCGTATGCAGTGACGAAGATTTGGCATTAACAAAATGAGTTGATAAACTTTGGACCGTACTTCCTAAAGCCAGGGATTTTATACTATGACACAAGACAGTGCTTCTAAATACGGTATGTATCCAAGAAATGTGTGAACATTGCAACTTTCTTATAAAATATCCTGGATATGAAAGTTTATTTTCACGGGACTTAATTTTTAAAAAATTATTGTCAGCATTCGATGTTCTGACAACGTGAAACCCAGGTTTATTTTTATATTGTTTTTAACCCCGGAAGCAAACGACCCCTGTGTGGCGGGACACAAGAGGACTAAAGCACTTTGTACACAGGGTACTTGAGAAATACCCCAAGCGTTTTATTGGCGTTGGATGAGCAGAATTCCCACGAAGTGCCTTGACAGGGTGTAAACACTGCTTCAGCTCGAGCGGAAAACGTACTTGGCCTAATGTGAAGTGACACCATTGACAGTAGCCACTGTATACGAATGAAAGTCGCCACAATGACAGGTGCGCTAATGCATGTGGTCTTAAACGACGTATACAAGAGATATACACTTTACAAAAGCCAGGCTGTGTTGTGTATACGTGTAGAAATAGCGCTCAAGGAAGCGACCGAGATCCATGCATAATATCAACTCACGGATATTAAATATGAGACATGAAATCGTTAAATTTTGACATTTCGAAATAGATTATGGACTCCACTCACAATGTTCCTCAATAGAAATTGATCAAGGTGTTGCACAGACAGTGTTTGATTGTGGGACATTGAAGATTGGAACAGGCCCCTAGAAGCATCAAGTTACCTTCAGTGTGGAATGTGTCAGGACGGTCGAAGGTGGCGTTTACAAGGAGAGTGTGTTTCCTAATTGGATTATACCTGTGTTTACCTGTGTAGGATCCCTGACCGTTACCCCAGTATTTGTGAGTTCAGGTGAAACCCAGTTATGTTGAACCTGGATAGGTGACTATATCCACGTGAAGCGGCGGCTCTCGTGAAATCTGTCGACGTAATGATTGATGTGAAATTGACTAATATGCTGTCATCAAAACAGGCGCTCGCTTCAGTAAGCTCGTTAGCAACATTCGTTCAAACGCTTACTCACATAAGGGTGTTCATATATTCAAAATATTGAATATCGGCAGTATAGATATATTTAATGTCGCGTGAACTGTGTTCATTTGCAATATTCAATGTATCCCTGAGATAAATATGGCAATTCTTAATTAATCCGGAGTGTAAAGTTCAACACTTCTGACACTGTATGGAAAGTATTATCTACACAGCGTGTATGTACAAAATTCGTGTATGCTCAGTAAGGGCCGGACGAACCACAGCTGCCCAAACGCCAGGTAAAGTTGACTCTGGGAGATAACACGCATTCCTCTGGAGAATTCTTCACAAGGTGCGTTTTTCTGTGCCTTTTTATTTTCGAACTTTTGTGACCACAAGGCAACCCCAAGAAGAGAGAAAACATCGGGGCTGAACGTAGGAAAGCTTTGTCCTGACCAGTTTATAGGTTACGCTTGAGCAGTTTGGCCAAATATGTCGCGATGTAATTATTACGAGTGACCTTAATCGCTATTGCTTTGGGTGAAGTGTGTGTGTGACGGAAAACCATTCAGTGGTGCTTATTTGATATTTACGGGTGAACAGATTTCACTGAGCCGACGGAAAAATGACAGGGTGGTTGTCCAGCCGCATGGAATTGCGACGATGACTCTCGAATAAGAGATATCAGGGTCCGATATCACTTCACTAAAGTGTTTGAACAGGATATAATAGGCCTACCTCATGCAAAATGATGATATTACAAAACGACACAAGGGTGCTGATGTTCGATTGGACAACGCGGGCACTGTGAAACCCTCAGCCGTGTGATAACCCGTTATCTCTCAGGATGATATCAGGGCAAAGGAAGTCGCCACTTATCGTACCCCACACGGAGAAATTCCTAAGACTTGGGAGAAACACCCCGACCCCCATCACCACGCCCGTTCCCTCAGACCCCCGTCTGTCCCCACGGGTGATGGTCGACGTCGATCTGTCGTTCGTCAGGCCCCAGAACGTGGATACTGCAACCGTTGTGAACCACTACCTCCGGAGTCGAACCCCGACCCCCTCCCCACTGCTGTCTGATTCTGACACCTCACGGGAGGGGAAGGGGGCGGTAGCAGGGACAGGGAAGAAGGAGACGCATATAAAACAGGTGAGTGGATGTTTCTAATTAGATCTTAATACAGGTGTCCCATCCTCGTTAGTCGGGACGATTTATGTTGTTCCGGAAGCTCTGCCATATTTAGTACACACACGGACGCGCGCGCAGACACACATACACACGTATGCATGCATTCATAGACTCACATGCATAATTACGCATACAGTAGGTCATACGTACGTACACACGGTCATACGTACTTGCTGTCATACATGCACAGTCATTCACATTACGGGACATTCTGGGACCGTGGGGTAGTGTACTAGTGTTTGAAGCGTTGGATCGTGACTCCGTTGACCGGTTCGATTCCCAACATGGGTACAATGTGTGAATGTCTAGTGTACCCCGCTGTGATATTGCTGAAATGATGCTGAAAGCGGCGTAAACCTAATTCACTCACATTTGGGAGGACTTCGCTGCCTTGAAAATGATCTGAAAGCGAGGGAAGAGATGCTGCATCTGTCTTCAAGGTTACTTATAACTTGTGTCATAACAGATATATGCCTTCTCCCAAGTACACTCTCGTACACGCATGAGTGCATATGTATTGACAGACTTGCAAAAGTCTCTTAGGCAAAAATAATAGTTTAAATGATAATTTCTAAAAAACAAACACCCATAATTTATATTGAAAAGGAGCCCAAGTGAGATGGGAGATTCAGAACTTAAGCCTTGGGAAATCTAGACTTCATTAATTTAATTAGGACTTTAGTATTGCAGGGAGGGCTAGGTTGAAGGTAGCCTGTCATACAGACCCTGAAGCCAAGGTATCTAAGAAAGCACACACAAGCCGGGAAAATGTGGCAAGTCAGATTTCCACAGCTCAGGAAAATGAAGAAAGTCTCAGGGCTCCTTTTCATTATATTTGATTTTTCTTTTACTATGAACCTTTTTTCTGTAAAATATGTTTATTTCAGAGACTAGTTGTTAGTCTAGGTTGTAGGGAAAATGGGCGGTGGGGTAGCCTAATGGTTAAAGCGTTGGCTCGTCACGCCGAATACCCGGGTTCGAATCCCCACATGGGCACAATGTGTGAAGCCCATTTCTGGTGTCCCCCGCGGCGTAAAACCAAACTCAGTCAGTCAGTGTAGGGGAAATAATGTGGTTCAGGGACTGTGGGACAGACGTTTTGAACTTCAAGGACAGAACCAGAAAATGGCTGATACAGTAAACGAGTCGGGAAAGAATTTCGACGTTGCTAATGATCTGTTTATTAAGAGACGATTATAAGTGTTAATTGTAATTGATCAGCTGGCTGATCCTTGATTTGTGATGAGTCGTATAGATGCAAAAAGAAAGAAAACACTTGGACGTATAAAGTCCTGAAGCCAGCAACTGCTTGTGTGTGTTAGTGTGGAGTGGGGGTGGGTGGGGGTGTGCCGACGCAGGAGTTATTCCCATGCATTTGTTCAGTGCTTGTCCTAGCCTATTAACTCATCATGTAGTGGGGTTGTCATGAGACAGACGTGAAGCGACGGGTGGACCGGCTGACACTGGCTGTTGGCTGCATGTCTGTCTACTTCGTTTGTGTTGATGTGAATACCGTGACATGTTCCTGGGGTGGCGGAGCGGTCACAGCGTCCGGTCGTCACGCTTGGGGCCGGGTTCGATCTTCCGCAGACAGACAGACAATTGTTTATTTACATCTCACTTCAGTACAACATAATATTAAATACATATAGACGTAGAACATGAGTTAAAGTACAGAACCACTCAATATGAGTTATGACTTAACTGACCGAGTTTTAGTTTTACGCCGCTTTTAGCAATATTCCAGCAATATCACCGTGGGGGACAACGCATTCTGTTTGACGAGTGAACGCTTTAACCACTAGGCTACCCCATCGCCCCAATATGAGTTATGAGAGACAATAGTCGTTTCAAAATCTTAAACTTACAACCATAAATAAAATAGTAAAAAATATCACCACTTTGACACAACAAACGTTTTTCAGTATTTGTTAAAACATAAAAGTCCGCATCATGTGAATAACAATATGAAAAAAGTTTCCGCATGGGGGCAGTTTGTGAGATTGAACCAAAAGGTAGCCTGTCTGTATACAACAGAGAGTGTATGCGACGTAAAATATAACTCACTCACTCCACGGCCTCGAAGCAATGAGTAAAACAATCATGTGGAAAGGTCAAGGAGTAACGTCAAATTCGGAATTCCCCCAGCTGTTTGGCAGATACTATCCTGTAGGTGAAGGTCAGATGTCGGGGTTAAAAATATTATGTGTTAAGGACAAGGCGTGGAGTAAATGTCCTTTGTTTGAAATCGATGTGTGTTCCAAGAATGACCTTACAGTGACAGGCTGGTGGCGGGGTAGTCTACTGGCAGTAGTGGTTAAAGCGTTCACTCGTCACGCCGAAGAACCGGGTTCGATGCTCCACATGGATCCAACGTGTGGTGTCCCTGCTAAAAGCTGCGTAGAACCATACACACTAAGTCACACTGTACATGACCGGGTTCGATTCCCCACATGGGTACAATGTGTGAAGCCCATTTCTGGTGTCCCCCCGCCGTGATATTGCTGGAATATTGCTAACAGCGGTGTAAAACCTAACTCACTCACTCACACTGTACATGATCAGGGCGTCTACACCGGTGGCACGCGGACCTCTGGTATAAATGAATAACACCATGGGAAAGGGACAAAGAAGGACAGAAACAACAAAGTGCTTCTGGTCGTGATCTCGTGAAGTCTCGCGAGACTCCAGACAGATAAACATGGCGTTTAGCCTGGAAGCTCTGACCTTTCTGGTTAGATGTATTCTGTCACCCTCGGGACTCCCGAGTTGGAGCTGGTCCCACATATTGGATCGAGTGTAGTCTGTCATACGTACCCCTAAATGGCTTAAAGAAATATATCCAAGAAAGCCCATGCAAGTCAAGAATATGTGGCAAGTCCGAAAATGAAGAAAGCCCCTGGGCTCTTGTGATTATGTTTTATGAACAGTTTTTTCCCCCTGTAATGTATGTTCATTTCAGAGTCGAGATGTAAGTATAGATCGAGTGGTCTGACTCCATTTGTGGATGATGCATGCTATCATATCTCAGCTGCATAGATCGATTGGTGATGTCAGTCGCTTTACTGCGCAGACTCCATTTATTTAACAAACCGCCGTTACGTAGCTGGAGTGAGTGAGTTTAGTTTTACGTCGCACTTAGCAATATTCCAGCTTTACGGTGGCGGTATGTAAATAATCGAGTCTGGACCAGACAATCCAGTGATCAACAGCATGAGCATACGATGATGTGTCAACCAAGTAAGCGAGCTGACCACCGACGTAGCTGGAATATTGCGGCAACAAATGAACGTTGAAACACATGACTAATATCCCCAAAGACTTTCCACATCGTCATCCATCATCTCACGAATTTTTATTTGATTATTTTGAATTTTTAAAAATCCATTGCCAATTTGAATCAGGTGAAAAAAAAGGTGTTTTTCACACTTTTCTTTAAACAACCACAACTGCCCCACACTGAGGTGTGTTTTACCTCACGGTGTCAGCATTACAGAGGTCGCCCACATTCCCTCTCCCTTAACCAAACTTTGGTGGTGTTTGCATGACATCAAAGGAGTTTCACCTGTGCATTGTTTGTGTCACGCGTGTTTGATTCGCCGCCTCACGTGGGTTAATAAGTTACACATTGTTATACAACGTTACCTGACCTTGATTTAGCCATGATTAAGACTCACGTCCGTGTTCACCTGGTGTTGGCCTTCGTTAATTTGAATCATCGAATACGCTTACTGTCTTCAGTCGTGTACCGGTGTTCGGGTTTTCTGTTACCCCACTTTGATTCTATCCCCCGGATTGATTCCTTTGGTTTGATCAGGGATACTCTACGTCTTCTATTCTCCCTGGTTTTGATCCACTTTGGAATCATGTTTCGTTGGAGTTTATTGTGTGTGGTACCGGTGCTTTGGTATTTCTTACAGCCACTTTGATTTGATAAGAAGATATTTTCCCCTAAAAATGTGGATCTATTCAAATCGTTTGTCTTGAGTCGACAAGAGAATGTCTTCATATGGTCTTTTTGTTTACAGTAGCGGAAGGTGTATTCATATATTCATATCTCACGGCGCTTCACAGATTTTCAGTAGACGGAGAAACATATCTAAATTAAGGGACAGTTGGACCGTTTATTATTTATGGCTGTGTGTGTGTGTGTGTGTGTGTGTGGTGATGATGATGATTTATTTCTTGTTTATTTGTCTCCCACTTTGTTCTGGGGAGCGTTGGGGGTGTCAGCAAGTTTTTACACACGTACAAGGAGGGGGGCAGCAATTTTGCACATAAGATTATGTTTAGAGTTATGCTATAAAATTATGGGAAGGGGTGGGGATAATTGATTTTGTACATGACATGCAGGGGGTCACTTCCTTTGTACATAGATTTGGGGTGGTGGGGTGGGGGGCATTCACACATGCTTCTCCATACAAATCATCATCTGTCCCTATGTGAAAGAGCGAGTTTAGTTTTACACCACCTTTAATACTATTCCAGCAACATCACGGCGGGGGACACCAGGAATGGGCTTCACACCTTATACCCATGTGGGGAATCGAACCAGGGTCTTCGGCATGACGAGCGAACGCTTTGGCCACTAAGCTACCCCACCGCCCCTATCTGAATTAATACGCCTGGCAGTGCATTTGTCAGTGTCGCGAGGGGGCTCCACTTTCATTAAGCCATGCAACTTGCTGACAGGCAAAGAATATTCCACAATAACAGCACCCGGTGACTCAGAGATATGCAGTACGCGGTGTTCGATCGATAATGTAGGTTGTAAATGTGTCTAATTTCATCACCTAAATAGGACACGAATGCATAGGTATGTTCTGTACCTACTGAATAAATAGTAGCACATTAGCGTGTATTTGATTTCATATGTAATCTACGTAATTTTGTCGTCATTCTGTCGATGTTATGACACGTCGTTCTGTGGAATGACGTCATAATGAATGTGACGTCAGAGG